CCCAAGCCAAGCCCCATCCATCGAATAGACGAGAAACCCTCCCTACCCTCCCTCTCTCACTTCACTTCCTGAGTGCGTGCACATAGTCGATGAAGACATATCGCTGCTCCACCGAGGCCAGCAGCGGGGCGGCCACCCCTCCAACCGACGCCACCGCACACAGCCACCCACTCAGACTCACCGCCCGGCCCCTCTCCTTGGGCGCCAGCAGCGTCTGGGTCAGCATCACGCCGAGGGCGGTGAAGGGCAGACACACAGCCAATGCCGTGCTCACGATGCGCAGCGACTTGAAGACACAGAACCTGCATCCAGCAGTGAGGTCGGCAATTGGGGAAGGAGTGCATAGGTGTAGCGGGGGGGGTGAGTCGCTTACGCGGTGCGGCAGTAGGGGCAGTCCTTAGTATGGTTCAGCCATCGGTCGAGTATCATCCGCCTGTCTCTCTGCAAAGGGGGGAGCTCGCCACTGCCCTGTAGCCATGACGGCTGGCCACCACCGTAGTTGCCCAGCCAGTTGCGGAAGAGACGAACGGCCAGGTCAGCCTATGGAATCGTGAACCAATGCACCAATCACATGGGAGGCATCAGACGCACGGCATGGTGTGGTGTGGTCCGTCAAATCGAACACACCTGGGCGGGCATGTAGTAAGACTGCTCGAAGAGCCGCACACCTGCATCCAACGATCAGTCAAACAGTCAAATGTGTGTGTCTGTGTGTGTGTGTTGTGCTCCGGTGTCTCTCTCTATAGTCACCATCCGGCTTTAGGCGCATCATTCTCTCCTGCCAGTGCAGATGAATCGAGTCGCCGTCCAGCACCGCCATCCGCTCCAAATGGTCATGCCACCTGAACACACAGACAGACAGACAGACCGACCCGTCGTTGATTCCTTCATGCGCATGAGGAGCGCTCTGCCTGCTCTGTGTGCTTTTGTACTCCGGTCGTGATGTTTTGCCGGTGCTGCGTGGGAACCTGCTGAGGACCATGGACTTGCCGGGCTCTATCGGAATTGCATACAGAATGAGGTAGAACATGTTCCTATGGCATATGACGTACAAGTCGTATGAGTACACTCGATTGAGCTTTATCACCACATACAACTTCTACCTGCCATCGGTGTCGAGAGCGGCAACGCGGGGGCCCAAACCGAGGGAACACAGCAACCTGAGTGAGGGCCATATGGATGGCATACATATATGGCATACACACCACACAATCCATCCATCCACCGGATAAACCAAACCCCTTGTCTTCATTCTGCGTGCCGTTATGTTATCGTCTGTCTGTGGTCCCTCACCTGACGATGAACTTTTCTCTGAGCATCTTGCCAACGCCGGCGAGGTTGAAGGCGTACATGACGAGGCAGGGCGGCTTGAAGCGGATGGTGTTGTCGATTTCCACAGGGTCGCCGCTCCTTAGCTGCCCCAAGGTCGCTTTGCTCGACACGGTGAAGCCGCCGGTCTCGAGCTTGCTCGCCCGCTGCAAAGGGATGGGTCTGCTCTTCTTGCGGTCGCCCTGGATGCCGTGGTGGGCCCACGGCACGTGAGAAGGATCCACCAAGTTCTCTATCAACGTGTCCCTGAGCAGCCAGCATACCACCATATATAAATGCGGTTCGGTGCAAGGATCTGCAGGCAGGTCTGGCTCACCCACCAGTTGTAGTGTACTATGGTTCGTTTCAGCCCTGTGTCGCGGCTGGCGACGAGGCCTGGTGGGCCATCGTCCAGCTCAGGGACGGTGGCCGGCTGGACACTCTGGGACGCTTCACGGCCCTCGGCAGTGCTGATTGCAATCACATCACAAAGCACAAAGATAGATGAAGCACCAAGAGGTGTGAGAGGATGGAGCAACGTCGCGTGAGCACAGCAGCACGTCACGTATGCCTACCTACCTGTCAGGGAAGATCCACAGGATGCCTTGCTTGAGCTGACACGGGACGACCTCCAGATGGGCGCGGGGGTTGTCGAGGGCGCTGCATTTCGACACCTCCTCTATCTGGGGAATGCCGCGACACTTGCCATCTCCATCAAAATGCCACCCTGAGGAGGAGGAGGACAAACAAACAAACTTCTCACGCACGCACTGAAGCACTTAGGCGTGGGATGATCCAGACGAACCGTGATATGTGCACTGCAGGTGGCCCTCTTCGGTGAACCGCCCTTCAGACAGCGGAGCAAGGCTGCATGGCACCATGCCGCACGGACAAACAGACAGACAGACAGACACACGGGGATGTCTTTCAGCCATGCAGAGCAGGCAAAGTGCGTCTGTGTGTCCCCTGCCTGCCGTACCGATGCGGGCACTGATCTTTGGCCGCCTTCCAAGCCTGGTGCTGCTTGTCCCACCAGAGGACGAAGTGCTCAGAGAGCAGCGTGACCTGCAATGCATTGCATGCAGAGAGAGAGAAGAGGGAGGCGACATGGCATGCATCTTGGTGTGCAATGAACAGTGGACAGCATCATGATGGATGCAGCGTCACCTTCTGCGGCAGCCGCTTGTCGAGATGCTTGGCTACACTCACGGGATACCATTGCCTCCCCCAATCAAACGACGGCCCTGCTGCCTCGCCCATTGATGCAGGAAGCCCTCAGCACGCCCCTTGGTAACCTTCCGCAATGCCGCCGCACCACGGGATCTTATTCCCTTCCGGCTCTCAGCTAAGCTCGCAGTCGTCGATCCTGGGCGAGGCGCGAGAAAGGCTGTCGCATGTGGAACAGACAACAGAGATCAACTGTGTAGTCACCATGATGACGACACACGAGAGCTCGTCGGGCGGGAGGGCTCCAGCGGCTCCCGCCGGGAGTGTCTCACCCGATCCGCCGACAGAGGCCAGCACGACCCACCCCGACCCCCCCACAGGCGCCGACAGGACACCGGTGACATCACACGAGGCCGACCAGCCACCCAAGATCTCAGCCGGCAGCAGGAGGGGCAAAATGCGGCCTGAGGACATGATTCAGCTGCTCGAGGCATCGCTGAGGGACGCTGGGGGCGCTGCCGGCGGCGGGAGGGGTGGCGAGGGCAACGGCAACGGCGAGGGTGAGGGCGGCCAGAGTCCCGAGACTGTGGTGGCTTTGGACGATCAGCCGGACAGGCCGGAGGAGAGGAAGCAGCCGCAGGCCAACCACGCGCAGCCGGGGAGGCGCTATGACGAACAGGAGGGCGAGAATGGTGAGCTGAGAGGGAGGAGAACCGATGTGGCCCATGAGACAGAACGGGCAATATGGCGGATGGATGGATGGGAATGTGGGTGTGAATGGGTGCAGATGTTGAGTACGGCGTGCAGGAGCTGCTGGTTCGGCACATTCTCAGCCTCGCGGAGGAGAAGAAGCAGCAGCAGTCACACGTCAAGGGTGGGCTGCATCGCATCAGCACGTCCCAATGATTGACTGACTGCATCTCCCTGGTCCATCTCTCTCTCTCTCTCTGTGTGTGTGTGTGTGTGTTGGTTTGTTGGTTCGTTCGTTCGTCGGTTCAGACGTGTCGAAGAATCTGCGTGCCGAGAACCAGACACTCAGGAGTGAAGTCAGTGCGCTCAGGAGGGACCTGCTCGACCTAAGGTAAGTCAATGGATGGATGGATACACAGATAGAGGGTCCGGTCCACGCCTGGCATCTCCTCGCCCTTCGATCTCTATCTACCTATCAGGTCTGAGCTGTCGTCCATCAAGCAGCACCTTCGTGTGAACCCGACCCTGCCGCTGCCCTTCCCCCTCCCCTCACCCCTGCAAGCACAGTCGCAGCCACAACACAACGCACAGCTGTTCAACGCTCCCGGCGCACCTCCTGCTGCTGGCCCCGCTCCCGGCGACAGAGGTGGCATTGAACCGCCCGCCGGTGCCGGTGGTGGTGGTGGTGGTGTGGGCATTGGCGGGGCCATGCAGGCGGGCATGCCGCTCGTCAAGGAGGCCAGGAGCATGTCGGTGAGTGAGTGAGTGACGTACGGTGAAACATCCACACATGCGGGAGTGTCTCCTTCCTTTCTGTGTTTCTCTGGTGGTGTGGTGTGGTGTGTGTCAGAATGACGAGTACGGGTTCAGTCAGCCGTCGAATGGCGGCAGTGGGCATCCCTTCGGCCAGCCGTCGTTCGCGCCGGGCCTGGCGGGTCTGATTGACGCCTCCTCCGGGCCATCCACCACGGCCTCTGCATCGGGGTCCGGGGACGCCACAAGCACGGGATCCTTCACCGGCCAGCCGGTGGCACCGCGACAAGCTGCAAGGGTCAGTCAGTACAAGCAAGAGCGAGGAGGGAGGGCGGGAGGGAAGAAGATAACAAACACACCTATGTTCATGCGGTCTCATGCTCATCCGGTTGGTTGTTCTTCTGTCTGCAGATGCCTGGTGACTTTTCCTCTTCCTCCTCTGCCAACGGCGACATCCAGATCACCTTCGACACCACCGGCCCAGCAGGGCCAGGCGGGCTGCCCCTGCCCATGCAGATGGGCGGCGTGGCGCCGTGGCGGGGGGGATTTTTCCAGCTCCATCGCACACCGGGGGCCGTCATGGCCGCCGGACCAGGCGGCCGCATTCGGGCCAAGTCCGACGACCTCAAACCGCTGCGACACATGGCCGTGGGGATAGCCGAGGAGGGCCAGCAGCCCGTCGGCGGCGGGGTCGGCGGGGGCATGAACATTCCGCCCATGCCTGCACCTGCCGCGGCGAGGGCACCGGTTGCCCCGCCTCCCGAGGCCCCTGGGATGGGCAGTGCATCGGCCGCAAGTGCGTCGGCAGCGAGGGCGCTGGCCTCTGCGGCGGGGCAGAAGAATGTCGAAGATATGCTCCATGGGTAAGAAAGGAAGGCTGAGAGGGCGGGGCGGGCTGGCGAGTGAGTGGAGAGTGGTGTCATGATGTATGTCGGGACCCGGTGCGCGTGTATCATATGTGTGTAGGAGTCGTCCGTTGCTGTTGGTTGACCCGACGTACCAGCCCGACGTGTCTGCGGAGCTGGCGGACCCTAACATACTCCAGAGAATAGAATGGAGAATCAACAAAATCTCACAGGTATGTAGGTATGGTATACCAGAAATCAGCGGCAAACACTGTATACCATACCTAGCTCACTGTTGTCTTGTCTTGTCTGTCTGTCTGTCTGTCTGTCCATCAACCACCAGCTGCCCCCCCGCATCAGTGCGACGGAGTGTCTGGTGTCGCCCCCCTTCCTGACCACGTGTGGTTTGGGTGAGGTGCGGCTGCAGCTGACCATCAACCCAGTCGGCCCCACTCCCTCAGGGCCCAACTACCCACACCTGCCAGGAGGCGACGGCAACCCCGCCATCGCACCGGCTAACGCCAGTATGAGCGATGTCGAGAAATTCAGATGCGGAATATTCTTCACGGTGTGTCATTCATGAGCACAGAAAGAGGGAGACGCCAAACATGTTGGATGGGGATCATCTTATCATCTGTGTGTCTCCCTGCTCTGTGTCAGACTCCGACGCCGACGACGGTTCGGTTCTGCCTGCAGATGGGCAACACCAAGAGGGGTCCGAGGCTGCACAACTTCTTCGAGACGCCGTGGGACGGATTCACCGACTTCTGCGCACTGGGAGACGAAATCAACAGACAGGAAGACTCACTCACACTCGGTATGTAAAACAACCAACCGCACACACACCGACGCAAAGACACATCGACGTTCTCTATCTACCCGTTCCTTGCTTCAGCTGCCGAGGTGTTGGAGGTGACGCTGCCGCCCCAGTTCGCTGCGCCAGGTCCGGGCGGCAAGGACCGTCCCAGGTCATGGAGTTCACACGTCGTGGGCGGCATGGGCGGCGGGGGACTCCTCCCATCGCAGAGGGAGGGCGACAGAGGCGGCCCACAGCCACACGGACACCACGGCATGCCACAGCAACACCCTCCTGGCGGCGGGGGCAGCGGTGGTTATCCACCACCCATCCCCCCGCAGCACCAGCAGAAGGGCGGCTACCACGGCCACCATGGGCACCCAGGTGGTCAGCAGCAGCAGCAGCAGCAGCCGCCCCCGCCCCCGCCGGGCATCGGGGCGCCACCGGGCTTTGGGCAGCAGGCACAGCAAGGGGCTAGTGAACCACAGGTAAATGAAGGAATTGGAAAGGGGTGAATGAATGAGAAGTGAACGTCTTTTCTGTCTTTGTATCTTGTATATTGTGTGTCCGCAGACTTCGCCCCGTCCGCCGTTGCCCAAGCCTCCGCCCGGCCCGTCTGCCCCCTCCGGCGGCAACAGGATGTATCTCGACGTCATGCCGCCGCAACACCCACCAGGGTGAGCACAGCACAGTGCACGACAAGAAAAGCACCAAAACAACATGACGGGCTGACGCACCGATGAGCGACTGTTGCTGTATTGTATTGTGTATGTGTGTGCACTGCAGCGGGGGTCCTCGTCGTGCTATGGGTCCTCCTCCGGGGCTCGGCGGACCGCCACAGGGCAGATCCATGCAGGTAGGTCGGTACCCACCCATTCACCCATACCTTCACACAGCTCTGTCCAGCACTACCGTTTCATCCGTCCGTCCTCTCTGTGTCGTATTTGGATAAATTCAGCGTCCGATGGGCATGCAGACGCCCCCTCCCGGCCTGGAGGAGTCGCCCCACGGCGGACCCGTCAACGAACCTGACTGGATCAACTCGCTCCTCGGCGAAGACACACGCATGCAACAGCACCACCTGCAGTTACAGCATGGTGGCGGCGACCCACAAGGCTTCCCCGGGGGCGGCGGTTTCTTCGGCGGCCCTCGCGGTCTGGGCATCAACCACCGCAACCCTCCGCGAGAGGGCGGCTTGGAGGTCATGGGTGGCAGGAGGGAACGCTCCCTCAGTGTGGGCATCCCGGGGACGCCTGCGTCGCCCCTCGAGGGCATGAAGACGTATGGCTACTATGACGGGGAGGCGCCGCCGCCCTTCCCACACATGGGCGGGGGTGGTGGCGGCATGGGTGGGATGCCGGTGCCGCAGCCGCCACAGCATGCGCCCCCACAGCCCATCAATGCCATCACCGCTGAGGTAGGACGAAGGATGAGAGGAGGGGAATTGGCTGGGTACGCCATGGGGGGCTCTGGCTGCTGTGTCTGTAGGAGGTTGAGAAGCTCCAGCGTTATCGCAATGATGCGACGTCGATTCTCAATATGATGGTGAGTAGGCCGTGGCAAGAAGGAAGGAGAGCAGACGGCAGCAAGCATTGTAGCTGTCCGTCTGCCGTGTCCAACAGGCGTCTGACGAGAGTTTGAACAACGCGCTCGGCAACTTCAAACAGCTCAAAATACCAGTGCCATACCAAAAGGTCAGTCGACAGCCAGCCAGCCAGCCAGCCAGTGTCCATTTCTGTCTCTGCATCGATCTCCTCTGTGTCTCCGCCGTCCTGCAGGTGATATTGAGTGAGTTGATGGTTCAGGGGTGCCGCTTCCCGGAGTCCAAGGACAGGCTGGCTGCATTCAGGCTCGCCCTCGCCCTCTGCCAAAACAGGATATTCCAGCCACACACACTCGATGAGGGGTATGCACAGCAAAGGGGTGCCGAAGAGACAAGGGACCGAATGCACGCTGATTTGTGTGTGTGTCGGTGCAGTCTCCAGTTGTTTGTGACTGATGGTATGGACGTGTTGGAGTCGGGGCGTGGCGGTGTGGGGGCGCTCAGGGGGCTCAACCCCATACTCATGAACGAACTGCTCCCCGTGCTCAGAGGTCAGCCGCCCACAAAAGCGTCGCGTTTCACACACCCACATCGCTCATTGCTGTGTTTGTGTGTGTGTGTGTGTGTGTGTGTCCTGGTGCAGAGGACGAGAGCTGCATTCTGTCTGCGGCCCAGCTGGACGGCGTGGCCAACCTCTTCACCAAAAGGACTTCATGAAACTCATCCGCCGAGTTCCCTTCCCCATCAGCGTGTGCGTGGGACGGCCAGTGCGCGTGATCTCATTTGTAGGTCCACCCGCACTGCCGCGTGTCTGTCGGTGTTTACTTTGGTCGTGTGCTGGTGGAGTGTTTTCGCTTCTTGTCTTCTTTTTGCGGTCCATGGCGTTTTTGTTTGCTGGGGGATGGATGGATGGATCGACCGGTGTGTGGAGGGGCGGAGGATGCACACATTCATGGGAGCAAGCGCGATTCTATGTCTGCCTCGTGTGAAGATGCGTTGCAGGTCACTAATCGACTACAGAGAGGTGCATCTTCGCCGTCGAGCAGTGCCAGTCGAACTCCTCAGCAGACAGACAGACAGACAGGCACACTTGGTTGTTAGAGTGCCTTTGCCAAGAGTGAGGAAGACGACTGAGCAGCACGGCCAGCCAGCCAGCCAGCCAGCCAGCGAGATCGACGTACATGTGTGCCTCAAGAGCACCTCCCTTTTATTTTCCTGTCGTCTGTCGTGTCATGTCGTCGTGATGCATGCATTGCATTCAATGCAACCAGTCTGCACTTGGCGCTGCATGGCATGCAGTGGATGCGTGCGTGCGTGCATGGAGAACGGACGGGACGCGGCTGGCTGGCTGGCTGGCTGGTGGGTGATCGATCGCTCGATGTGTGTGAATGTAGGTGGGTCGTTTTAGCTAGCGCTCTCCCTCGCTCCCTCCATCTTGCCCTTTTGCTTGCCGTGCCGAGTGCCATGTCTGTCTCCATGGATGCGGGCCGTGCAGTCCCGTCCGCCGGTTACTCTCTGGGTGTCTGTCTGTCGTCGATTGTCTGTGTGTGACGTCGCTAAAGCTCCTTCAGTCGTTTTGGCGTTTTGGCTTCGTCAGTGCCTTTCACGATTTTTCGGCGGGCTGCCACACGATAGAATAATTGATGCACACATACACACACACACATGGATACATACCTACCTCCTCGGTTGGCCTGACTGAATGATAGGTAGCTAGGGACATATCGATCGGTACGTTGGTTGGTGATCTGTGTGTGACGAATTGTCTGTCTCCTCTCGCCTCATCCCGCGTCGTCTGTGTGCTTCCGACACGATGTGCTGGTGCATTGCATCCATCATGCATACTTTTAATTAGCACACAGACAGAGGGGGAGACCCTCAGGTATTTTGAAGCTCCATTGCACCATGGATGGATGGATGTGTGTGTGTTGCTTACGGGAGCGGCGGGTGGGCTCTCGTCACGTGAGAGAATCGCTGCGAGGCAGCCTGCTGCACACTTACATGTATAAATGATGCACAACTGCATGTGTGGTGTCTGTGATGTGAGGTTTAATTCAGCGGGCAACAGAGAGGGGTGGGGTGGGGTGCGGTGGGGCTGGTGTGTGACTGTGTGTGTGATGGGTGCGTATGTATCTGTCTGCACGCCTGCGTGCGTGCCCACGGGGCACATCACTTGTAGAGGGATACGGCTCTGCACAGCTGGCTGAGAATTTGTAGTCGTGTCCCTCCCTCGGCACAGATGTCCTTTACCGCCCTTTGTGCTTTATTTTAGGTGAGGCGGGTGCGGTGCGATGGATGGATGCCGTTACATCACATCACACCCGCCTCCCACAACTCGCCTGCTCGACTCATGGCTCCCTGCCTGCCTGCCTGCGTTGATGGATACATACATGCATTCATTCATTCATTCACTGTCCCGTGACTGATCCCGTGACGATCTGTCCGATTTTTTTCCGTGTCTGTCATAGGTTGCTAGCACTATGTATCCATTTTCTCGCTGCTGTATGCTATGACCGGTGCGGTGTGGTGCGGTGTGGTCGGCTTGACTGACTGGTGCACCCAGCCAACCCCCCCGCCATGCCATGCCATGCATCCAACACATCAACGGGCGGGCTGTTGGACCCACTCCCGAATGCGCAAGTGGCCATGACAGCCCGCCCATGCACACACGCACATACACAGTACTGCCTGCCTGCCGGAGTGCACCGGCCGACACACCGATGGATGATGGTTGCATGTGTTTTCACGACCGAGGGCGGCCGGCTGGATTTGCATACCAGCGTCTTTTTCATGCATATCTGTCCATGCACCCATCCACTCTTTCCCGGGTGCCCCACAGTGACTGACTGACTGCCTCCATTTTTGACCGATCGACTTGCTGGTGGAGAGAGTGGTATCTTGTAGAGGCGACGAGGGCGTGAGCGGACATATGGCGGCCGAGCGAGTGAGTGCATAATATGTAATGTGTAATACATACATCGATCGATGGATGCATCACACGTGTACCTACAGTCAGCCATTCAGCGTGCAGACAGGGGCACAGCCTCGGTTAACTCTCTCAGCTAAGTTGCCGTGATCTGTATTTTCCGCCGACGACAGGCGCTGTGTGTGTGTGTGTGTGTGTGTGTCTTCCGTGGACAGCCTGACTTTGTAAGGTTGAATGATGGTCACTCGATCCAACCCAACGGCTTTAGCGGAACCCAACGGCTTCAGCGGCCCCCGAGACGGCGGTTTCTTCCTTCCCTCCCCTTCTCGTATGCTGATATGGAGGACAGCGAGCAGCGCATCAAAGAGCTGGAGGACCGTGTCGGACAGCTCCAGGCCCACAATGAGCAGCTGCAGTCCTACTCAGCTCAGATTTTCGAGTTCTACAAAAAGGTATCGGAAGACTACAAGAAGATGTCGGACGACTACGCTGCCGCCCGAGCGCAGATAGAGCTGTACGAGAAGGCTCAGGAGTCGCCTTCTGCCAAGTCGGAGGCACTCGCCCCCGACCAAGCAGAGCAGCTGATGGAGCTGACGTCGGAGGTGGAGCGGCTGAAGGAAGAGTGTCACCGTGGCGAGACGGCACTGGCGGAGAAGATCAAGGAGGTGGAGGACCTGCAGAGGCAGCTGACGGAGGCACAGCGACCAGCAGAGGAGACACAGCCGCGAACAGAGGCCCCAATGAATGAGTGTGAGGTTGGCTACAAAGCGGGGGAGGCCGAGCTGCACGGAAAGGTGCGGCTGCTGGAGGCCAGAATAAAGTCACTGAGGGAGCAACTGAAAAAGAGGATGCGAAACTCCTCGTCTCGGACGACGGCCGCGAGTGTTTCGGTCGGAAGACTCATTGACATGATGAACCAACTGTTGGCATTCATGCATCAAGAAGCAGAGAATGACAACAACACATGACCACCTCTGCTTGGATGGATGTGATGACACTCATGTACAGTCTACAGCCTACAGCTTGTGTTCGTCTGTATCTACGCATGTGTACACACATGTACTCGCTTTTGTCCTCTTCGCTGTTGCAAGTTGTTGGTTTGGTGTTTGCTCCGGTTCTTCTTGTGATTGAGTGGCTCTTGCACACAGGAGACACAGACAGAGTGGACCATCAATCAATCTGATCGATCATGTCAGCCGTCGAGGAGACTGTCCTCGAGCTCAAGGGCAGTGTGGTGCCGATGTCGAGTGTGATGCGTCGCAGCAGCAGCTCGAGCGAAGTCTCCAAACCCCTCAAGGTAAGCAAAGCAAGCCATCGAAATTTGGATGTGCTCACCGTGTGTCTCGTTGTGCTCAGCGTGTGTCGTTCGTGTCCTCGACGGCGGCAAGCACCGTCGAGGTCGAGACCGAGCAGGACACACACGCCGAGAACGAGACACACACCGAGAATGAGAGACACGACCTCATGCAACTCGTTGAAGGTCTGCACGAGTTGGTGTGCACTTGTCAATCTCTGCGTGGGTGTGTTGGTGTGTGATTCAGTTTTGATGTCTCGCGAGAAGGACCCGCACTTGGTGTCTGGCCCCATGTCTGATTTCTGCCTCGTAACTAAGGATGCACACGGAAACCAATTGAGGAAAGCAGATAGCGACATGGCTGGCTGTGTGTCGATCTGTCTGTTGCCAGCGCACTGTGACTCGCGAGCGTCGTTCCGTGTTCGTCGGCCATCTGCTCAAGGCATGCATGATCGCAATCCACCACTGACACGACCAACCGCCACTTGTGAGTGTCATGGCTGCGTGTATGTGTGTGAGGCGTGTCGTGGTCTGTCGCTGAGCGGTCCTACTGTCTTTGAGCTTTCCATCAATTTGATGGACAGCTTCTGTGCCAAGACCAACATTGCCCTCACGCCGAGCGAGATAGGCCTCATGACGCCAAACGTAACAGACACACGCACACACACACATGACGGGGGCCGCCCATCTCTCTGTGTCTCGTGTGTGTGTGTGTATGTGTGTGTCAGTTCCTGCTCCTGGCCTGCAAAAGCCACGACGACGACATCAAGGGGTGACAGATAGACAGACGTGCACGGCACACAACACAAGGCATCACACACACAGACAGCCAAGCCACTTCACTGCTCTGTGTGTTGTTGTTTATTATGCAGTGAGGTTGTGTCCATGACGAGTGCGTTCCTGTCCATCTACACTCAGTGCGATGCGGCCGAGGCGAGTCGGCAGGTCAAGCGGCTGAGCCAGCAGGAAGGAATGATCCTGTCGTGCCTCAACTACCGCGTCCACACGGCCGTCCTGCCAAGTCGACTCTACGACGTCTTTGCTGAGGTCGGTGAGGCCAATGATGGCAGGCACACCACAAGGCACAATGTGTGTGTGTGTGGGGGGGGGGGGGGGG